TCTAATTGATTTTTTTTGTCAGATAAACATATTCTGTATGATTTCTTCCAGTGAATTTACCCCTTTTATCATCATGAAATGTCCTTTATTAATTTTTTATTAATAATTCAACTAAATCCTTTATTTATTTCTTTGTTTCTGGTCTGTTTTATCTGATATTAATATGTTCACTCCAGCCTTCCTGTGCTCGCTGTTTGTAAGAGATATGTATTTTTAACCATTTATTTTCAGCCTGTGTCTTTATAGTCAAAGTGCATTTCATTTAGATAGCGTATACTTGGTGTTGCTCTTTGAATCATTTGACAAGCTCTGCCTTTTACTTGAGAGTCCATGAATATTTAATGTAGTTATTGATATGATTGGCTTTAAGTCTACCATTTTATTATTTAAGTTTATCCACTCTGTTTTTGTTTCATTGTACATCTGTTCCAGACTCCTTTTGTATTAATGAATATTTTAAAGAATTTCCTTTTAATTTTGCTGTTGGCTTTTTAAGGTATACTTCACATTTCTTGTTTTTCCAAAAAGTTATGCTGTAAGGATTATGTAATATACACTTGTAACATGTCAGTGTACTTAGAAATTATTTCTTTACATAAAATGTAGAAACTTTAGAATTGTGTAGGTTCATTTACCTACCCCATACTTTATGCTGAAGAGGCGACATGTATTATATCTACATTCTTTACAAAGTCTAAAATAAAACATTGTAGTTTTTACTTTAAAAAACTGATGTATTTTAAATAAATTAAGAAAAAAAATATTTTATATTTACTCCTATAGTTATCATTTCTGGTGGTCTTCATTCCTTCCTAAAGATTAACATTTCTATCTCTTATCATTTCTCTTCAGCCCAAAGAACTTCCTTTAGTATTTATAATGCTGTGGATGAATATTTTTTACTTTTTCTTTACTTCAGAAATTACTTCTTTTACATTCATTTTTTGAGGGATATTTTTGTTAGGTATAAAAATCTTGTTTGAGGTTTTTTTTTTTTTTTCCTTGCATCACATTCAGAATTTTGTTCTTCTTCCCCCCCTAATACTTTATTTGTTGTTGAAAATATACAAAGCAGGTCATACATCAGTTGAACAGTTTCTGAATGTGTAATTGAAGATTACATTCTTCAAGTTGTGCACCCATTCTCACCCTCCTTTTCTGAATTGTTCCTCCTCTATTAACATAAACTCACTTCCCACTTTTCAAGCTTTCTTGTTCTGTCTTTTGATCTTCAGTATTTATAATGAGAAGCCCTAGTATATATGAATACTTTTGTTTGAAGACTCTCAAGGTTACTTTTATCTTTAGTTTTTTTTTCTGTTTTACTATAGTGTTCCTAGTTATGGTCTTTTTCATATTTATCTTCTTTGGGGTTTACAGAACTTCTAGAATATGTATTTGTCTTCTGGTAAATTTGGGAAATATTAGCCACTACTTTTTTTTTTTTTAAATGTTTTCTGCCTCATTCTGTCTTCTTCTGAGTTTTAAATAGACATGTTTGACATTTTAATATTTTCATATGGATCCCTGAATCTCTGTTTCTCTTATAACATTCTCTCTTTCTCTTTGTTCTTCTGATTGGATAATTTCTCTTGATCTACTTTTAAGTACACATTCTTCCCTGTTGCAGTGAATTGCTTGATGTGGCCCTTCTAGCCATTGTCCTCCATTCTGTGATGTTTTGTAAATCCCATTATCCATGCCTGTTTGGGGTGCTGTGGTAGTTAAGGTCAGGTATCAACTTGGCTGGGCAGCTGGTAGTAGTCACTCCCTGTAATGACTGGCAATCGACTCTGTGATGGGATTT